TAGATAAATATTTAGATACACAGATAAATAGTTAATTAGATACATGGATAGATACATAGATACATAGACAGATAGCGAGATATATTGATTGATTGATTGATATATAGATAGCTACACAGATAGATAGATAGAAAGATAGATAGATAAAGAGACAGATAGGTAGATAAACAGGAAGATAGACAGATATCATCCATTTCTACCATACATCATATTTCAGGTTTTTCTTCATCACCGTAGAGCGCTGAGGCTTGGAAATGTAACCATTATTTGACGGGGGGTATCTATATAAAAAATCTTAACTAACTAAAAACAGAAAAAAATGGACAGAAAACAGAAAGCAGAAAAAACTAGGCCTGACCAAAGACCATGAAATACAACATGATTTCAGTATTACTTAGTACCTGATAACATTTTAACAGCTACGAGCGTCTCCTTGGTTCTTCCTTGTAAGTTATCGGCTGTTGCCTTAGCAACATGACTAAAAGCACCTTTTCCAATGATCTTTTTGATTGTCACATCTTCTTTAGGAATCTCACAGGAGCGTGTGTGTGGATCAAGAGAAGCGTACTCGCTGATTTGTTCATTGCTGAGTGGACTGGCATCTGCTATCACTTGTGAACGAGCTCTGTCATCTATTGCCATGTAATGGCTTTGAGAAGGTTTAGGCAATTTGACTGCAATCTTAGAAAAAAAATTTGTTTTCAATTTAATAAAATACACCAGTATTTACTTGAATAACGTATTTAAATGAATCCGGGAATAATCGACCGACATTCCTTATGGATCATAACTCTCTGGGTTTGGGTAAACTATCAACCACAATGAAAAGACTCTTACTAAAGACAGCAACTTATGAAAAAAAAGCGCCTTAGACCACAGGAAGATATATCTAGACAAGGTAAAAGATTTCATCGTTTGACCTACATTTGTACTTTCTCTTCTTTCATTACTTGAATTTCCAAATGTTCTGAAACAACAACACAAATATATCATAAACAAAACCAATCCCTTCAGCCTGAAAATTCCAAAATAACTGAAAAACTTTCCAGAGAGCTAAGTCCAGTTAGAATCGCAGCAGGAAAACAGCTGCAGGCTTGCCTACAGTAAGACCTTTAAGAGTTGACTTCCCTGAATTTTCAGAGAGGGTTCAGCATCCTCCACATTCAGGGAGTGCTTTTGATAAGAACTGTTGTGAATCGCCGGGTACGCCCCAGTCCAATATTCAGAACAAAAAAATTTATAAGTAACATAGAAAATATTCACTTTAGTATTGGAGTATTCACCTTATTTATTTTTCAAATTCTTTGCTCTTTGATTTTTAGATTCATTCTTTGATTGGCACTTTTCTTTTTCTCCTTGTTTCCATGTTTTGCATAATTTCATCAAGCGCTAAGTGCCCATCTTCGTTTATTTAAATAATTTTCAACCAACTTTGTGGTGAACTAAAACCTTTCAATTTTTTTAGACAAATAAAACAACAACAATTATTCTCAACTGCGAGTTAGAAAACAAACTCGAGAATCAGAATTGTCAAAATAGCGTACTTGTCGATAACACACATGAATCAAATTCGGCACTTTTTTTTGCAAAGATTTTTTAAAAGTTTGCATAAAAACACTTACCCGAGGCTTAATTACAAAGAAAGGAACAAAGACAGATATTAAACACTAAGCGTCTAACTTTAAGTTAAAAAAAGAAAAGCTGCATTTGCTGTGAAAGTGAGGAAGATTATGTTCTCCTGGTTACTGGTTTATTTCGTTCTTACACGAAATTTCCAAGAACATACTGACTCAAATTTTAGTAAACAGTAACCGTCCTTTCAGAGCACTTTTGTGTGAAACGCAGGAAGCAGGTTTGCATGTCAGCGAATGGAAGATTTTGATCAGAAACAAAACGATGAGTTACAAAAATTGTTACAAAGAAAATTCAACTATTTAATGATTATTTACCGAAGTTTAACACAAAAATCACTAAGATGTTGATCGTTGTGCGAGTGACAACCATTGTAATGATATCTCTCCCACGCAAGAGTGTCTTTTAGCTAGCGAGTGTCTTACATGATCTATCATTATTAGATCAATCACAAATATTCACATGAAAAACAGTGTGGCTGTTAAATTGTTAAACAGATTGGGCCATAAGGAACAACGCAAGTAAACAGCACCATTTCGATACAAAAATCTCACCTTCTGCTCATCGCAACTTCTGTGGCGGAAAGACAAAACAAAGAAACATAAATAGCAAAGTAACGAAAACAAAACAAATAATGGATGAACAATCGACATCAAACAAAATTATCTCGCACAAGCAAAGTAAAGTCTGTCTGATGCTCATCAAGTTGAGTCATAAAGTAAACAATGTCAAGCACGATCTCTTGACTATTATTAGCTATCGACAAATTAGATAACAAAACATTAATTGTTAGCTGACAATACACTATTTTAAAAGTTATCTGTTAAAACTAAAGATGCTTAAGCAAAGATCATCATGCAGTGGATAGTGAACTGAAGCCAGTACCTAGTCTTAGAAAAAGGAAAAAATATTACAGATATATTTCTGGGATTCCAAAACTTTTCATTTGAGAGCATAATGTGTATGTAACACTTGCCTTCAGTGCCTTTTGTGTTGCGCCTCTTTTTCCTACAAGTCCACCAACCTAATATTCCAGTAATAGCCAGTGCAGCAACTGATCCAAACACAGCACCAACAATAATGCCTATGGTACCTACAAAGCGTGATAAGCTTGAGGAAAATTTTTGTAAGTGGAAGCGTTTCTCAAGCCAAACAATTTGGTCGAACTTCAGTTGTACTGAGTTTCATTTTTCACAAAGGAACCCTTTTTTCACTGAGATTGTAATTAAATGCTGCGGTGGACATTTAGTTGCAAACGAAAATACAAACCTCACAGGCGTTAGTTAACCATTCCATGCAACAGCGTAACAAATTTAATTTAGCTTGTAAACAGCAGATGCACTTTTCACTTCATCTAAATCTTAAGACATTTGATGATTTTAAAATAACGGGTCTGATTCTGTACTCCTGTTTTGGTTAAGAAACCTTTGAAATTCAGTCAGAACTTGATTCATCTTCTTCTCAATGTTCATTAAAAATATGGAACTGAACAGGCCATACTGCGTATGTTCACAAAAAGTAGGGGAGGATACAAATTCTGTTTATGCAAGAGGTTACAAAAAAAGTAGAAGGAAAATTCATATCTAAAAGCATCCGCCCCTTTTAAGCTTAATATTCGGCTAGAATAACAGAACCACCTACTCCTCGATACACAAACTTACACATAAAATCGTTCATAATCAAATCTTAACCTTTCCGCGGCAAGGATTGGTGGCATAGACAAAATGAAACAGAAATAAAAGGAAAACCACTAAATCTTTAAGCATATATAAATAATATATAAAACTCAATAACATTAAAGTTGTTTAATTGTTCCCTGAAGCAGAAAGATGCAACAGTATTAAGGTACACTGTATACAACACCAGCAAAATTGTGTCCTTCGACTTACAAATTAAAGCTCGATTCAGTCGGACAGTAAATCATTATGTATATTTCAGAAAACTTAATGGCATAGGTGTCTGGAGAGTACTTAACCGGATTAAATTACTTGTTACTTTATATTTACAAAGTCATTTGTCTCTGAATAATAGTTTACCTTCTTTCGTTCCACAGGGCAGCCCTAAGGATTTCACACAAAATACGCTCGATTAATTTGAGGAAAACTTGCATGGCTGCTATTTTTTAAAGGATTATGAGAACCACTCAATGTAAATTAAACATTGGTTACATGTTTTCATTAAAAAAATCAATAGCTAACTCACCGAAATGCAAAACAAAAGCATGCGCACAATTAAATGAAGCATTACTGTCCAATTAAACAGGCACGACGCATATTCACTCCCCTATTACACTGTCCAATTACGAGCATGGCGCGTATACTAGAATTTGTTTCTAGTTTTGATTACAACTGTTATTGGCATTGTAGTTATTGTTGGCATTGTTATCTTATCATTATACACTAAGCTTTCAGATCTCTGTAAAAACCTGCTACAGTATCAATTCCTTCCAACCAAGTACAGGGCAAGGCCATTCATTAATCAACTTGCAAAACGTTTACATTGAGTGTTAGGAGGACCTACCCCCAGAGGACCCATCAGGTGGTGATGTAGCACCTCCACTTGTTGGTTTCACATCAGGCCTTGTCCCTTTTATAGAACCCACACTAAACTCTCCCAGCTTTCCATC